TGGATTACTTCACGAAATGGATAGAAGTCGAGGCCCTCACGAAGATCACCTCGCACAATATCCTCCGCTTCTACAAGAGAAACATCCTCGCCAGGTTCGAAATTCCGAGGGCACTGGTGACCGACAACGACACCCAATTCACTGACCACGGGTTCCAAGACTTCGTCACCAGACTAGGAACAAAACAACACTTCACTTCGGCCGAGCACCCTCAAACCAACGGGCAAGCCGAAGCTGCGAACAGAGTCATCCTCCGGGGACTCAAACGCCGACTCGGCGAAGCGAAGAGGGGATGGGTCGAGGAGCTGCACAGCGTCTTGTGGGCATACCGTACCACGCCCCACTCAACGACGGGCGAGACCCCATTCCAACTAACATACGGAACCGAGGCCGTCATCCTGGTAGAAATTATGGAACCATCCAGACGGACAGAGAACCCCCTCGACGAAGAAATGAACGACGAGGCACTCAGGGACGAGCTCGACTTAGTCGAGGAAATCCGATCTGGGGCGGCCCTGCGCGAAGCCACCCTAAAACAACGAGTGGCTCTGCGCCACAAAGACAAGGTCATTAAGCGCGAGTTCGAAATCGGCAGCCTGGTGTTACGAAGGAACCAGAAAGACTCCCGCGAAGGGAAGTTGGCCGTGAACTGGGAAGGGCCTTATCGCGTCCACGACACCACTGGTACCGGGGCATACTACCTCGAGCAACTAGACGGAGAACCACTACCACGACCCTGGAACGCTGCTAAACTAAAGCAGTACTATAGTTGAAAACAATCAACACCGAGGACCCTCGACCGACGAGACCGCGCCCGGCCAACGAGGAAAAACGCCTGACCCCGTAGAAAGGCCAAGGTACAAGCCCGACCTACGTCTAAACGGCATAACGTCGTTCAACAGACAAGAAGAAATGATAGTGCCCGACGTGGACATCTCAATTGAGCTCCACCGTCGAAGTACCTGTAGGGCAGAACACCCAGCTCGCGATGGGCAGTTCACGCCGCGGGTGAATAACCCCGATCCGGGTCATGTACCCGACCAAGCGGGTTCGCTCTGCACGCCCGATGAATCTCGAAGAACGTCGGGCCATCTAAAAGGGTCAAAAAGAAGTCTCTCTCCTCGAGGTCATCAATTAGGCGAATCTGGCCACCAAGAAGAAGCCGAGCACATGCACGAACAAAGGACTTAGGCAAATTTGCCAACAAAGTCACAACCCCATATGGGCAAGACTCGGGCCCATAACTTAGGCCAATTTCAGCGCAAAAATCTTAAACATGAACACGGGCAAACAATTAAGAATCGAAACAAACATTCAGTTGAAAGGCTCGTGGGCAACAAAGCAAATGGATATAAATCGACCAAGAAGGCCGACGATGTTCAGGAAATACAAAGAACGGGCGCGTAGACCCAAAAAAAATATATATGAACGGGCACGCAGGCCCAAAAAATATGAACGGCAACGCAGGCCCAAAATAAACATCAACAAAGGCGCGCAGGCCCTATCAGAATCTCACATCTAGACTTCCCCGGAGTTATCACCGCTGACAATAGGAGACTCGGGCGGGGGCACGACCTGGCCATCAATGATCTGAGACATATAGCCCGCCCCTTCAGTGTTCAGGCCGGGATTCAACAGGGAGAGCTGGCTGACCGCGGCTTCAAAGCCATCCGCCATAGCTCCGGCACAGTCCACCTCGAGAAGTTGGATACGAGCGACCAGTTCCGATCGACTCCACAAAGGAGCTGTATCCTCCGACTCATCCTCAACAGGAAGCATGGCGGCCTTTAGGTCCTCGATCTCTTTGACGAGGCGTGCGTTGTCAATTTCCAGGCGTTCCCGGTCCTCCCGGAAGTAGTCCCTCTCCTCGGCAATCTTCTATGAGTTTTCTTTCTCTACAACAAGCAACTCTTTCTCCGCCGCCAGTAGCTTGGCTTGCTCGCGGAACATCTCCTCAGAGCGCTCCAGGGCAGCCTTCAACTTTTGTGAACTCGAGGTAAGGGCAGCTTTCTCCCGTTCCAGCTCCTTGATACGGTCAGAGTATGCCCCCTCCTCGGCTAACACAACGGCCATCTCGGCCATCTTGACCATCCCGGCCATATTGGCAGCCAGGTGCCTTCTCCGACTCTCCTTGCTCATGCGCCTAATGGTTTCGGCTTCATCAGCACTCACGGACAAGGGAAATCCCTCGAAGAAACCCTCCTCTTTAAAACAAGGGGGCAACCCGAAGGACCTCACCGCACTAGAGTCCTCGCCGACCTCCGGTTGGCTCTCCACCCGATTCCTCTTCCTTGGTATCAGGTCAGTAGGTAGCTCGACATCCTGAGCGTCCGAGGATCCTCCCGAAACAGTGCCCGAGCTAGTCGGAAGGCCCATCCTCGTCGCCTGAGAAGTGCCCGGGCTAGTTGGCAGACCCATCCTCGTCGACTGAGGAACTCTCACCACCCTCTTATTGACCTTCTTATCCTGTGACAACTTCAGGATCCTCTCCCTTCGTCCGGCCATCAGACCTGCATGAAAGAACCCCGGGTTAGTGACGAGCAAATAAACAAGCAAAGAAAACCAAACAAAACAGAAAAAAAAAACAAAAAGGTAAAAGACCTAGCAGGTTCTTGGCCTTCCCGAAGGACTGGCATTCCACGAGCGCCTTCGTGTCGATGGGCTGAGCCTCAAAGGTCGGATAACCGTCCTCGTCAAGAATATCCTTCCCCTCCCTCGTGGCCCACCGGGCGGGGAAGAAACTATCGACATATCAGCAAAGGGTGCCATAAGCCTCCTCGTCCTCGGTACTCATCCCACCCGCGGGCGTATGGTAATGCCCGGTGCCATTCGCGTAGTGACGCGAGGTCCAATGCAAGGGGAACTTGGCCACACGCCCTAACACTGGGCGTCCCTCGTCGTCCAGAAGAGCCTCTCCGTGGTCATCGGTCACGACCGTTTCCTCCTCGTACACAAATTCTAAACCCGCTTTGGAAACCGGCCGTACGATGTACCACTTGTCCTTGAAGCCCCGAACAGAATCCATGTACATCCTGAACAGTCTCTTCGACTGCTTCAAGGAAACCCAACTGTGCCTGCCTCACCGGGACTGGCGCTGCAAATGGAAGACGCGGAAGAATAGAGGTATGGTCGCCCCAATCTTTAAGAAGTGACACGTCAGTTCGAACGCCCGGAGGAAAGCGATCGAATTGGGATGAAGCTGCGACGGAGCAAGTTCCAAATGGCTAAAGACCCCGACCTGAAAATCACTGAAGGGAAGCTGTAATCCAAGGTCCTTGAAGGCAATCTCATACATGGGGAATCCATACTCAGGGAACTCCGAGGAGATCCGTGCGGTGAGAGTTGGTCGGGTGACGATGAAGTTCTTCTGGAAACCGGGCTGGCTACTGCCCTTCTCGAGGATGGTATATGCACTTCGACTACATCGACTATAGGCTGAAGCGATCCCTCTGGGCTCGGCGCCCACCCATTCCAGCAGAGGATCATCGATAGTGTCAACCAAATTCACGTTCTCCTCGGCACTTTGGTCCTCCGCCTCAGTGCGCCCCGAGGAACACGGTTCGTCCGCCATCGTTACCTGCAAAGCATAGGAAACCGGTCAATTGGGGAGCAAGTCCACACGCTCGCCATAACGGCCGGGAAGAAGGGCACGACAAACCGTGTCACTCCACGCGTGACTACAAAAAGTTGGTGTTTCGAACAAAAAGAGCATAGTCACCTCCCCGACTCCCAGATACCACGACAAGTCCTCCTACAGGTCGCCCAAATAGACCAACATCTCGGCCACTCATGAATATGTCGACCTAGGGTGTGAACAAGGCGAGCAACGTCATAAATCCTAGAACCAGAGCTATGAGTTTGCCGGGCACTACCACGAATTAGGTGCCTTGAATTATGAAGACCCCGGGCGGCACTGCGAGTTAAATACCTAAACTATGCGTTTACCGGGCACCAACATGCGTTTGCCGGGCATAAACACGAATTCGCCGAGCCAAATATAAATCTACCGGGGCTAATCCCATACGTACAGTCTCTAACGTCCAAAACAGTAAAAAAATAGCATGCATCACAGAGGAAAAGCAAGGGGGACAAGACGCTTACTTGAAATCTGGAAGGAATTGCGACGACGGAAAAGGATATCAGCGACGGAGAACACGACAGTCCTATGGATATCTGGGAAGAACAGTAACGGCAGAGACAGAGGAAGGAGAAGAAGCGCGAAGAGGGAAAACATGTTATGGGGCCCAAGGACCCTATTTATAGTGATGACGTGGAATACCAAACGTCACTCCGGGGAACCATATGCTTCCCTCCTCGACGCACAGCTCCCCTAGGCAATGATGACCCTACCTTCAATAGGGTGGCGGCACAGCTCCCAAGAGATGCCTCGTGTGCTCAACAAACGCAGCCTGTCGGGCAGACCTCGAGCACTCCTCGAAGGGAATTATCTCGCGGGCGCGATACGGGGGGAAACTCCTCGAGGTACCACGGGGAACTACATCCCTTGCCCGGATACGGGACCCCGCGACAGAGGCGACCTAAGATCAAGTCATGGCTCTTACTCCAGAAACCACGACTTGGGGGGCTCCTGTTTTGGACTGGGTCGGGCTGGACCGGACCAAAAGCAATGGTGAAGGCCCAATCCAAACGGTCTTGCAAGGGGTCACGCCGACCAAGAGGCCACAGCCGTGCCCGACACTCTATGCTAGTGCGACATCCTCGACTTCATGCTATCCTGCTCGACCTCAGCTCGAGCACTCCTCCTAGGGCAGACTCTGTCCACTACACCATCACCTGGATCCCGAAAAGACCGCGTCCTCGTCCGTCCGTACTTCACGCAGAACATCCAGGAAGGAGACCACGTGCGGGTCCCTACTACACACGTAGAACCTGGCAGTTCCTCCATTGGGCCAAACCTACCCGGCCCAATGAAGGAACCTTGGCCCAGCGCTGGGGGCTATAAATACCCTCTGTTCCCATAGGGTCAGGTATTCATTCTTTTACCCATACTCAAACTTTTGCCTGCTCGTACTCTCACTTACTTCAGCATCGGAGTGCCTTGCAGGTATCCCCCCATCTCGTTCAAACTTCAGCTCGGATCCAGTCGTGACGGTCCAAGTCTGATCCGGTAAGATCAGGGCCTAATACACGTAAATTATAAGACTCATTTAGATTTTTCCTGAAGCAATTTGTTTTTGTATCCAAAGCCCAATAGGAGGTCCAATAGTGCTCAAACTTCAAGCCCATTATAGTTTTTTCCTGATAGCCCAAATAATTGAGAGGCAATTTCAGACTCTTTATTATTCAATTTTATTAATCATTATTATTATAGTTGGTAATCATTACTGTTTAAAACATTATTTAAAAAAAAAAAATTAATTTGGGAGAAAGAGAAAAAAGAACATTTAAAGGAAATTTCGGTCCAATAGGATTTTTTATTTGAAAAAATTGTTTATGGTTAAAATCTTTTGTTTTATAAAATAATTGTTTGTTAAAAATCAAGCCCAAACCCAGTTGATTCTCTTCATCTGATTATTTAAAACAATTACATTATCATTCTTCCTTTTTTATTAACAAATAAATTTTATTTTTCTAACATTATTATTAATCATATCATTATTGTTATGTCTTTATTATTAATTATTTTTACTAGAATTTCTATTGAGATTATCTGTCCAAAAAACACATAACTGCCAAATCCAAACCAGAAAACATGCAAGCTCAAAAAATAGAAACATGCGCAGACCCATTTTTGATTTAAAAGAAGAAACGTTATATGGCCCAAAGAAATCAAAGCAAGTGCATATAGTATAAAAATGCAGATTTCACTAACACTTATTGTGAAAATCGTGAATAGATTTGAGTCTTTATTTCTCTATTCAGAAGCATTTACAAACGAATTCAATAAGGGACAAAATCAATTGGGAAATAAAAACAGAATATGCTCAAAACAGAAACTAGCTAAAGCATTCACAGATTTGCAGACAAATTGAATTCCTTCCTAAATCAATTCCCAAATCAGTAACTTCATTTCCTAAATTAAAATTCCTAAAATCACTATAAAACCCAAGTGCTAAAACAGAGAGGAAGAGGCAGAAAAAAAAACATTACACAAATTATAGTAAAGGGAGGGAAAAAAATGATAACGGTAGGAAGGAGGAGGTAACCCACTCCATCAACCGTCCTCTGACGCTCTTCCACCGCGAGGCGGCCCAAATTGACGGTAACAACTCCATGCACCCCACGAATCCGCGTTCAACCTCTGACGGCTCCATCACCACCCGGCTAGCGCACCTTACTGAAACCCCTCATCCATGCTCCCTCTGATGCTGACATCCACACACCTCACGTAATTCTACACACGCCCGAACCACCACGCCGGAAAAACGCCGGATCTAGCCGCGAGGACCCCAATGCCTCGCCGCCGACATTCTCTATATTTTTCTTGATTTGAAAAGAATAAAATAATTGAGAAGGGAAAGTTAAAAAGACAAAGAAGGTGAATTGAAGAGAGGGTGTAGATCGTGAATAAGGAAAGGAAACCCACTGTTTCCAGTTTTCTCTTACTGCAGTGTTCTCTTAGCATATTTTTTAGTTTTTAAATTCTCATATCCTATTCCAAGTGTCGGGTTCCTAGTGGTCTGCTTAGGGATAACTTTTGTTTTTTTATTTTTATTTTTTCTCCCTGGACGCTACGGGGCGTTGCCCCATATGTATTGCTGGTATTTTTTTAAAAGATTTATGTATTTAAATTAGGGTTAGAATGTGTTTGTTGGACTTGGGCCCTTATCCCTCATAATTTCTACAGCCTAACTCCCTACACCTCTTATTTTCATTGATTAGTTCTAATATGCCCATTCCTGTCTCCTGAGCCTGAATTCAATATCTGAATTCAGGCCCATGTTATTAGAACCTCCTAATTTTATTACTATAACATAAACCGCACCCCCTCACTAATTATGTTTTTTTTAATATATTTTCTTTATAAATTTATTTCTATATTAATTTATTTAATTATATTTCTATATTTATTTATTCTTGTTTTAATACTTTAACAATTATATATATATATATATATATATATATATATATATATATATATATATATATATATATATATATATATATATATATATATATATATATATATATATATATATATATATATATATATATATATTGCCTTGAATCCTTTGTTTCTTTAGCAAATATGACAAAACATAACACATAAAATGAAAAGGTAAGGAGAAAGAGAATCTCCTTGACAGAGTCCTCTTTCAGGAGTGAAACTCTGGCTTGGTTGTCCATTCACCAGAAGTTGATAAGAGAAAGTTGAGACACATCTTCCAATCAGTTGAAAAATGTTTAACAAGGATTCTTTCACAATGATCTTCACCTCTCCACCAAGTCCCTCTATCATCCTTCAACTTTGAAATCTGGTTGGTGCGTCTACGTTGCTCAACTTTTTCATGGAAGAATTTAGTATTACGATCTCCATCACTTAACCACAACGCCTTGCTTCATCGTCTCCAAATTACTTCATCAGTATGGAGGAGATTGTTCCTTTGTCTTTCCAAGGCTTTGTGGTAATTGATATCCTCATCCGTTTCCCCCCAACATTTCTCATCTTTAAGCATTTCTTCAGTTCTCTTAATCTCCTTGCGGGCAGCTCCAGGTCTAAGCTCCAAGAAGGCATCATCTAAACTTTGAATAGCATCCAACTTGTTTATTCCCATATTGTGGTCGTTCCTCCAGATATCCTTTATTAAGTCCTCACATCTACTATCTTTGGACCAAACCTCTTAAAACCTGAAAATTTTAACTTTCTTCTTACTTCTACACATCATAGGAGCTTCCAACTCCACACTAATAACAACATGATCCGAACCATACCTGGGAAGATGAGAGACTTTAACCTTAGGGAATATGCTGATGAAGTTCAAAGTAGCTAAAGCTGTTGGTTCATGATTTTAAAAATGTTGCCACTGAAGAAATTACCGGGTTGAGTCGCGGATCAGTTCGCTCTCTTTAAGACGTTTCGCGGTACTGCCCAAAATTATGCAAAGCAGTCGAACTACCACGCCGCCTCCAGGATAAAACAGCCCAGTTCTATACTGTACGATTACTACTTGCACGATAGATAATCGGTCTAGAAATACACCCTCTAATGGTACTAAGACCATTCAAATATGGTATAAATACCACCGTAGTATCTGATATATTTACCAGTCATAAATATTTCTCAAACCAAGAGAAATTTCAATAATTCTTCAAAGAGAATTCAATAATGATCATTTTTGATCACTCAAAGATTTCTCAAACAAAGAGAAATTCGAATAATTCTCTAAAGAGAATAAAAAAAATTATACTTGAAAATTTCTCAACTCAAACGAGGAGAAATTAACATTATTCTCTATAAAGAGAATTCAAGAAAATACTCGGAAAATTCAACGAGTAGAAAGAAAGGGGAAGAAGTTGGCGCTTCGACAATTCGAAAGACGCAGAGTTATGAGAGTGAGGAAGGAAAAACTAATAAAATGTTTTTGGTGTGTTTTGTAAGGAAACAAGTGACTTCCTTATATAATAAAGTGAGATGGTTAATATTTCTCACATGAGCAATGTGGGACTAAATGAATTTTTTTTTTTAATTCAATATGGAACATGGACATGTTCCAACAATCCCCCACTTGAATTTAAAAAGGTGAATTTGGAAGTAACGTCAAACGTTTCTAAGATTGTGCATAAACAAAGGTGTCTACGACTTGAACCTTTGCATAGCAAGTAGGATTCCGATTCAACAAGAGTGACACAAATGTCTTGAACTCTATCTCAGACATCAAACCCACACACAACCTTTTCTTAAGGTGTATTCTAATAGCCCGTACTTTAATGGCCCTGCACGTGTATCCCGATTTAGTGAATGCTCTAGGAATCCTGCCTCGAAATTCCATAGGAACCGGCCTAAGTTCCACAATCACATAGGTGAGTCTATCAAGAGTACTCCTGTAGCCTAGGTACTCCCTCATACAGAGTATAGATTTCATTAAGAGTTTCTATTATCTCATCCTCTAATTACTTCAGGATTCATGCTTTACTTGCATGATAATCTCATATTACTCATAACTTGTTATTACCCATTGAACCTATTTCTTGGGATCTCCAGTCATTTAGGTCGGGTTACCATCATGAGAAACTCATTTCTATATAGGCATTAGTCTCATGATATATTATAGACTTTCTCTCTAGCTAATCCTTTCGTCAAAGGATATGCTAAATTTTCATCGGTGTGTACATGATCCACTCTTACAACTCCTTTAGAGATATAGTCTCTAACAGTGTTGTTCTTTCTTCTAATTTGACGTCTTTTACCATTATAATAATGGTTCTCAGTTTTTGCAATAGCCGCGGTACTATCGCAGTGGATCAACACAACTGGCATGGATTTTTCCCATAAGGAAATCTTAGTTAGCAGGCATATTTTAACTAACTTTCTTCTTCACTAGCAATCGCTAACGTTATCATATCAGACTCCATTATGGAATGAGCCATGATACTTCGTTTCCTTGATTTCTAAGGTACAACTCCTTTAGCTATGGAATACATAGCCACTAGTTGCTTTGGAATCATCTAATAATATGTTCCAATCTGCATCACTGTACCCTTCAAGTACAGCCAGAAATTTCTGATAATGTAAACTGAGATATATGGTCCTTTTAAGGTACCTCATGACTCGCTTAATAGCTTGTCAATGCTCGTAACTCGGTTTACTCGTAAACCTGCACAATAATCCCACTGCATATGCAATGTCGGATCTAGTATAATCAGTGACATACCTAAGATTGCCAATGATGCTCGCATATTTTGTTTGTCTAACACTTTCACCAGTGTTCTTAAACAGTTTCACACTTGGATCATAAGGTGTGCACCCAAGTTTACAGTCGAAGTAATTATACTTCTTTAAGATCTTTTCCACATAGTGTGATTGATCCAAGGAGATGCCTTGTTCTGATCTCGTGATCTTGATACCAAGGATCACACTTGCTTCACCGAGATCTTTCATATCAAAGTTGTTGCACAACAATGATTTCACTTCATTGATGGTCTGAATGTTTGACCCAAATATGAATAGGTCGTCTACATAGAGACATATGATAGTGCAAATGTGATTCTCATATTTGTAATAAACACATTTGTCACTTTCATTCATCTTATACCCATTTGATATCATTAAGTTGTCAAACTTTTCATGTCATTGCTTCCGAGCTTGCTTCAGCTCATACAAAGACTTGTCTAACTTACAGACCTTGTTTTCTGGTCCATGGATCACAAAGCCTTCCGGTTGTTCCATATAGATTTCTTCTTCTAATTCACCATTGAAAGAAGTTGTCTTAACATCCATTTGGTGTACTATTAAACTATAAATAGCAGTTATTGAGATAAGTACCCTAATGGATGTCATTCTGGTGACCGGAGAAAAAGTGTCGAAGAAATCTATATTCTCTCTTTGTCTAAAACCCTTGGCTACAAGGCGAGCCTTGTATTTATCAACTGTTCCATCAGGTTTTAGTTTCTTTTTCAAAACTCATTTACAACCGATTGGTTTGCATCCAGGAGGCAAGTCTACTGAGTGACAGATCTTGTTAGATTCTAGAGAATCTATCTCATCATTAATAGCTTCTTGCCAGATATCTGCATCCAGAGATGACAAGGCTTCTTGAAGATTCATTGGATCTTCCTCTACATTATAGGTCGCATAATTCTTCCCATAGTATTTAGAAACTCTTACTCTTTTACTTCTTCGAAGTTCTGTTTCTACATCGTCGTTGCTTTTTGTGCTTCTTATCACATGAATGTGACTCGATTGAGTGCCCCCACTATTTCTCGATTTGAAAGGAAATTTTTTTCTTCATAGAATTCAACATCATTTGATTCTATGATCACTTTTGCATTTAGGTCATAGAACCTATATGCCTCACTGTTTGCTTCACACCTAATGAACACACATTCATAGGCTCTATTAGCAAGTTTAACTCGCTTCGTATCCTGAATTCTGACATATGCCAGACAAACCCAAGTTCTTAAATAAGACAATTTTGGTTGTCTTTTCTTTAATATCTCATAAGGAGAGATATTACTTTTTAACTTGGGAACTCGATTCAGGACATAGCAAATAGTCAACAAAATTTCCCCCACCAGTGAGAAGCAACACCAAAATTTAATATAATTGCAACAACAAGTTCAATAAGAGTTATATTCTTTCTTTCTGCTTTACCATTCATTTCAAAAGAGTATGGTGCAGTCATTTCATGTACAATTCCATGTATAAAATTCATCAAACAAACTAGAATCATATTCAGTTCTCCTATCACTACGAAGTCTCTTAATCTTCTTACTAAGTTGATTCTCAGTTTCAGTTACATACATCTTAAACATGTGAAGTGCTTCATTTTTATTCTTCATTAAATATACATAAGTATAATCAGAATAATAGTCAATAAAATAACATTTACTATTTCTAGTTAAAGTTCCATGTAATTCACATATACCATAGTGTATAAGGTCTAGGGGATCAGATCCTTTAATAATTGATTTTTAAATTCTTTACAAAGTTTTTAAACATATCAATTTCATTCACAAAAATGTCATTCTTTGTAATGGTGTACAAATCTACCCCAATGGACTGACTAAACTATGCCTTATATAAAAGAAAACCAGAAACAAAATTCTTCCTAATCTCAAGAACATGTATGACGTCCTTCGAGATTAAAGTCTTTCTGGAGGTGAAATTCAACTCAATTTCTCCAATTCTAGCAACATTAGTGGTGTGGACATATCCCAACAACACTTTCTTATCTTTAGTATTCGTGTATGTTTTAAACATAACACGATCATAACAGACACGATGAGAAACACCAGTGTCTATCCACCAATCATCAAATTCATCAACCGTGTTGATTTCAATTATCATAGAAATAAATTTCCCATTAGTCAGTTTGACCTATGCATTAGGGGTAGCACCAGGTTCAAGCCTCTTCTACATTTCTTAATCTTACGACATGATTTTCCATGGTTAAAACAATGGAAAACAACATCATTTCTTTGAGGTGGTGATTGTTGCCTAGTTGGAGCAATTGAGACCATAGAAAGGATCTCATTCTTAATTCGGATCACAACATTGCAGTTCTGATTCTTTAATCATTTTCCAAATGGCTTCAGAACTACACCGAATTTTTATTTGTTGTTTAAAACAACCAAGACTTTTCTTCTTGATATTGTCTCTAAGATTCCTCTTTTTTTAACTCAAGGAGAATAATCAGATTCTAAAAAATACATCTAAATACATACATTTAGTGATGACCTCATGAGAATTCTTTTTGAAGTTCATAACTTTGAGTATCCACAGATTTTTCATCTACCATCTGATACTTTTCGTAGTTGCTAAAATCATTCTTTTGTTCTCCAGCTTCTTCAATACTTGTTTTTCATAGCCTCGTAAACTTGTTTTGGAGTATCGCAATTATTGTAATAATCATATAGATCATTTGCGAGTCCATTTAGAATGTTATAATCATTCTCTTTCTATAAGGAGATTTCTTCCTTTAGCTGTAAATCCTTCTCTTTAATCTATGTTGTAAATTCAGATTCATTGAAATTAATAATTCAATCTAAGTTCATAGATTTCTTTCTATTCGTTTGTTCAACTGATCCAAGTGGAACAGTAGGAATGTCATCGGTC